GATATTACAGGACTGACAGAGACCAAATATGCGAGCGTGTTCAGATACGCATGGTAGATCATTTAGAAGTAGGTAGCGAGGTAGGGATGGTAGGACTTCTCGCACACGACGTGACTGGGCTTCCATGCCTGCCTTGTGAGGAAAGCCGGGGGAAAACTGCACAGGACAAGAATCAAGAACCAAACGAGCTCAGGGGCAGAGTCAGTGTAAAGGAAAAAGAAAATAATGAGAGTGAAGATGGTGATGTAGTGATGGGACTTTATACGTTGACGCCCCAAAAATATGGAACTCTGAAAACGCTGCTTGTTGGTAGACCGGACATGACATTTCACCAACGCTGCTAGCACCTGGCCACCTTTGGAGTGTGCCACTGCAACCTCCTCCTCCTCTTCCTCATCCTCCTCCTCCTCCATGCTCCTCCTCCTCCTCCTCCATCATCCTCCTTTTCCTCCTCCTCCTCCTCCCTCCTCCCTCCTCCCTCCTCCCTCCTCCCTCCTCCCTCCTCCCTCCTCCGTTTCCTCCTCCTCCTACCACCACCTCCATCCACCTCCTCCTCCTCCTCACATCCACATCCAAGTCACACCTTCTCTTCCTCCTCCTCCTCCTCCTCCTCCTCCAACCCCTCCTCCTCTTCCTCCTCCTCCTCCTCCTCCTCCAACCCCTCCTCCTCTTCCTCCTCCTCCTCCTCCTCCTCCTCCTCCTCCTCCTCCTCCTCCCGCCTGAGCGCCGCGCACACTCGTCTTAAAAGCGTGCAAGAGCTCCACGGATTGAGGGCCGTTGCCTTTCAAAATGTGGTTCTCGCCTCAGCGCTGTGTACATTCGTTTTCGATAGTTGCAAGAGTTGCACGGTGTCGCAAGGCGAACGTACCAGAAACGGCGCTTTGGAACGATGCAGGATTGTCAAGGCGCAAAACTTGCTTCCGATGTTGAAGTCCCAAGAACGGCGCCCTGGCACGATTCAGGACCGTCAAGACGCAATAGTCAAATTGACCCGTTGCGTTGGAATTTCGAGAATGGTACTTTGGCACGCTTCCGGATCTTCAAACAGTTGTCTCCCAACAGAGCCCTTCCATCAGTATGACTAATTCCTTATCGGGGCCTATGAAAAGGGGGCTTGGAGGGAGGGCACATTCCAACATCGTTGACGAGCCTTGGGTTTAAACTGATCATAATCGAGCTCGTTCCCCTCCCCCTCCTCCCAAGTATCCCACTCCTTTTCATCCTTCTTTCCTCCACATCCTCCTCCTCCATTCCTTGTCCTTATAAACAACTCTTCCCCGTCGCACACCGAAGCAGGTGAAAAGAGCGGGCCGGGCGATTCACCTGAGACAACCTCACCATTTCTAACTCTAAAGCTGACATGTGAACACCGTGTCACATCTGCACCCCGGTCGTTCTCCAAATGTGGCTCTCGCAGCGCCGAACATTTTGAAAATGTGTAAGAGCTTCGCGGATCAACTGCGGTTCGTTTTCAAAATGTGGCTCTCGCCTGAGCGCCGCGCACATTCGTTTCAACATATGCCAACAAGTTTCACGGATTGAAGGCGGATGGTCTTCGAAATGTGGCAAAATATGACTCTCGCCCTAGCGCTGCGCACATTCGTTTCAACAAATGGCACAAGCTTTACGGATTGAGGGCAGGACGTTTTCCAAATGTGACTCTCGTCTTAGCGCCATGCGCTTTCGTTTTTAATGTGTAAGAGCTTCACGGATTGAGGCCGCCTCCTTTTCCAAACGTGACTCTCGCCTTAGCGCCGCGCACACTTGTCTGAAATGTATGCCAGAGAGCCACGGATTGCCGTGGTCAACGTGCCACATATAGTTTTTTGTAAAAGCTCAGGACTGAGGACGCAGCAGTTACGTCGATTCGCGGTGTTCATGTCCCAGGAGTGGTGTTCTGGCACGATTCAGGATCGTCAAGACGGAACCGTCATGTTGACTCGAGCGCTGGAGTCCCGAGAATGGTGTTTTGGCACGCTTCAGGGTGTTCAAACGGCTGTCTCCCGACGGAGCACTTCCCGCAGCAGGAATGAATCCCCAGATGGGGCCTATGAAGAGGGCGCTTGGAGGGAGAGTTTACTCCAGCACCGTTGATAATTTTTGGGTTTACACTGGTCCTCCTCCTCCCCCCTTCATCGGAGGGTCGGTGCCATCGGCGCCGATGGGGCCGCCAGGGCGCACCAGTGGCGGCCTGCACAGGCTCGGCCCCGGGGCGCCAGGCCCGCGCAGCATAGCGCGCGCCGCGGCCGAGCGCGAGCGAGGCCCTCCAAGAGGTCCTGCGGGGGACCTCCAGCGGCGCGCGACCCTGTGATCTATAAACGTGCGCCTCCTCCTCCTCCTCCTCCTCCTCCTCCTCCTCCTCCTCCTCCTCCTCATCTTATATGCCTAAATACTCCTCCCCATCCCCTCCTCCTCCTCCTACCCTCCTCTTCGCTCCTCCTCCTCCTCGCTCCACCTCCGTTTCCTCCTCCTCCTCCTCCTCCTCCAGATCCTCCTCCTCCTCCCGTTTCCTCCCTCTTCTCCTCCTCCTCTTTCCTCCTTCCTCATCCTCCTTCTCCTCCTCCTCCTCCGCCTCCTCCTCATCCGCCTCCGCCTCCACCGTCTTCCGCCCTCCGCCTCCCCTCCGCCTCCGCCCGGCCTCCGCCTCCCTCCTCCTCCTCCTCCACCTCCTCCTACTTCCTCCTCCTCCTCCCTCCTCCTCCATTCCTCATAACCTGCCTCCTCCTGATCCTACTTCTTCCTCCTCCTCCTCCTCCTCCTCCTCCTCCATTTCCATATCCTCTCCACAGCCTCCTCATCCTTACCCCTAACCCCTCCTCCTCCTCCTCCCCCTCCTCACCTCCCCTCTCCTCCTACCTCCTCCTCCTCCTCCCTCCTCCTCCTCCACCCTACTTCCTCCCTCCCTCATCCACCTCCTCCTCCCCCCTCTTCCCCCTCCTCTCTCCCCCCTCGTCCTCCTGCTCCTCCTCTTCCTCCTCCCCCCTCTCTGTGCCGCCCGCCGAATGCGGACATGGCAGGTGTTGAAAGCGAGGCGTCGGCGATGAACGAGCGCGGGGATGGGGCACGGCAGGGGCAGGAGGCGGGAAAGGAGAGGGCATAAGGAGGAGCGTAAGGATGACATTGAGGAATCTGAGATGGCGGGCAGGAGGAGAAGGAGGAACCAACCACTCACTAAGACGACCGCATCCCGCTCGACCACTGATTGCACGTGCACGTTAATCCGCGACCTGATGACGCTACCTCCGAAAAAAATGCCATACCATTCCAGGCCCAGACATTTCATGGCACAATTGTCGATCGCACCACAGCGGACCACACATTACCAGACCAGGTCGGGCAAGCCACGACCAAGCCACATCCAGAAGGGGCGCGATTCTGATCAAGGATTGGCTCATGGGGACGCACGAGGCTTTCGGTATAGAGCAGGGCGAGGAGGAAGTTCCAGAGATCCGGGTATGCAGATCTGCGGCCACAAGACGAACGATCGAAATAACAAATCAAAACTCCTGGCAATGGGTTTTCAAACCGTTTGCGACCCCTGACCGATTCCTTTTTCATATTCGAGCGCACAGGAGCGAGGGCTCGAGCCAGCCTTGGCCAGCTCACACGAGCGGGTTGAAACGCTCGCGGCCCCAAAGAGAGGATGGGGAGGAGGGGAAAAGGATGCGAGCGAAAAAGGACCCCGCAGTCCCCGTAAGGATAACCTACCCAACCGACGGAACCGCCGATGACAGTGGCCGCTGCTGGGACCAGCGCTCGAAATTATTCCGCTGGCCCGGGGCGCCCACCGGCTGTCAGAACGCAGGCTGGCGATACGAAGTGGCCCACCTACAGCGCGCGCGTTGTCCAGAGGGGGCTGATGAAGGACCCCAGGATTTGGCCAAACTCCGAAGGAAGCCACAGAGCGCCGGAAAGCCGTGGAACCCAGTTGCTGTCTTAGACAGCGCCACTGTGATCCCAGGAGGGCCCAAGGAGGGCACAAGTTCGCTCACGAGACTTCCGAAGGCGTCTCTTCCTCCTCATCTTTATCCTCCTCCTCTTCTTCTTCGTCCTCCTCATTTCAGTCCCTCTCCTCCCTCTCCTCATCATCCTTCTTCCCACTTCTCTCGTGTTTGCGGCTCCATCCTTCTTCTTTGGCCACAGGCGTACCCCGAGAGGAATTCTGCAGTGAGCAAAAGGACCCGAACTCTCCCGAGAAAGAACTGTGATGAAGCAACATTCCCGATTTGGTGTTCTCTTAATCGAACAACAACCCGCCCCCGAAATCCTGACCCCCGTTCCCTGACTGAACTCTGTCCTGATCTGGTGTCGTCGTCGTCGCCGCCGCCGCCGCAACCGCCGCCGCCGCCGCCGCCGCCGCCGTCGTCGTCCCCCCCCCCCCCCCACCCCCCCCCCCCCCCCCCCCCCCCCCCCCCCCCCCCCCCCCCCCCCCACCCCCCCCCCCCCCCCCACCCCCCCCCCCCCCCCCCCCCCCTCCCCCCCCCCCCCCCCCCCCCCCCCCCCCCCCCCCCCCCCCCCCCCCCCCCCGTCGACGTCGTCGTCCAACTGTCGCTGACGATCGTCGTCGTCGTCAACGTCAACGTCGTCCAACGTCAACGTCAACGGTCGTCAGCGTCGTCAAAAAGCGTCGGTCGGCTAACCCGAGTTTCGCGTCGGGCGATCGCGTCGTCGGCGGCGGCCGGGCGGCGGCAACGGCGTCGGCGTCAGGCGTCGGCGTCGCGTCGGCGTCCGGCGATCGGCGTCCGGCGTCGGCCTGTCGGCGTCGGCGTCCGACGGCGGCGTCGGCGTCGGCGTCGGCGTCGGCGTCGGCGTCGGCGTCGGCGTCGGCGTCGGCGTCGGCGTCGGCGTCGGCGTCGGCGGCGGCGGCGGCGGCGGCGTCGGCGGCGTCGGCGGCGTCAGCGTTAAGAGTGCCCCGAAAAGCCATCCAGAGGCCTCTTCATTCCTCCTCCTCCTCCTCCTCCTCCTCCTCCTGCTCCGCCTCCTCCTTCCTCCTCCTCCTCAGAGGCATCCGAGAGATGGCCGCGAGGGACCAGAAAGCACCCCCACAACGAGGGGGAGGAGGGCAGAGGAGCGGAATGTCCTGTCGTGGACCCCGAAGAGTCCGCGGCAGAGGCGGGAGCCCAGATAAGTAGCGACCTCAACACCGTCATGGTCAGGCGAGGCTTGCTACTGCGACCGAAGCCACCTCTGCGCCTCCGCCGCCGCGCGTTCCCGCGACGAGGGCCAGGCGCTGCGCGCATGAATCTGGCGCAGCGCTCACGTCTCCGTGATCGTCTTCGCCCAGTAACCCTCCGACTGTGAATCCCGCTCGCCCCAGGTGCTTCACGTACAAGTTCAGGTACAGGAGGCCGCTGTCCGCACGTCCATGCACGACTTTCAGCTCGACCTTGCCGAAGGCAACCCATTCCAGACTCTTGGCGTCATGCTGCGATACGCTGTAGTGGTAGCCTCCGGCTTGCTTGGCCTCTGCCCACGACCCGGTAACGTTGAGCTGCTGGAAGTACATGTCCGCGCATTGTCCACCCAACCAGCGCGCATCGGCCTGCACGCGAAGCAGGGCGCTGTCAGCAGCCGCTCCACGAGGGATGCTTATCAGAACGTGCTCGCCCGCCTTCATCAGGTCGAACCGCTCGCCATGGATATTCTGCAGGTGGGGATCGCCGACGGCAGCAGCCCCGCCCGCCCCTGCGCCCGCCCCTCCGGCAGTGGCAGCGCCGCACACGAAGTAGGTGAGGTACCAGCACTTCGAATCGTTCAACTTGCCGTTCCAGTCGGTCCGAGTCATGGCGCACTTCTCATTTGAACTGCATCCATTCGGCTCACCTGCGCTGATCCACAACCACTCGGGACCTCTGTTAGGAGGATCTGGGAACGCGTTCCCATCGGTCCACTGCCAGTCGCATGAACCGGGTGAGTGAAGACCAACCCTGATGTAGCCGTGCTGAGAACCCGCTGTGGATTGCGTGGAGAGGAACTGGGCCAAACGTGCCTGCTGCTCCTCGCTCGTGATGCTTACCATCTCCATGCCGAGGTCCCTGCAGCGCTGCACGGAGTCATCGTAGTCGAGAGCATCCGAAACAAACGTGAACTCTGCCTGCGAGCTGGACATGACTTGAGAAGCCCTGGCCTCTGCAGCCAGCACGGCCCCGACAAGCAGAAATCGCGAGAGCATGTTTACCCACAGCGGCTTTCTGCGTCGAATAAGGAGTGTACAGTGTTCAAGATTTCAGGTTTCGCTCGCAAGGCTCGAGCTACAACGCTTGAGCCAAAGAGAGCGCCCGGGAGGCCAGGGAGCTACTACAGACCGAGGCCCCGAAAGAAGACCTGTTAGGTAGATGACAGATGAAACGCAAAAAGACGTAAATATGATATACGTGCAGCGAGGTAAGTATAAGCTCGCTGAGTATGCTGAACGCGGTGAGTCCCTGGCGAAGCGGCGCGAATCGGGCGAAAAGCAGCAGGAGGAACAGACAAATTATTGTTCTGGATAGAACGTCATCGTCAGAAGCCGACGACGACGACGACGACGACGAAGACGACGAAGACGACGATTACGACGACGACGACGACGACGACGACGACGAAGAGGCCTGACGTCCCCCGGAGTTCTCGTAGATCTTTGTGGGACTTCGGGCTGTATCAACACAACGGGATTGGCACATGTGCAACTGAATCCTGCTGGAACCACGTCAAAGAAAACCTGGAGCGTCCACAAACGTTGGATTCGATACAAGTGCGGGCCACAAATATCACGACATCACCTGCGTGTTCCGCTGGTCGTCCCCTCCCAACTTCCCGTTCCTCCCCATCCTCCACCTCGCTGTCGTCGTCCTCGTCCTGGTCCTCGTCCTCATCGACATCCTGCTGCTGCTGGTCCAGCTGCTGCGGCTGCTCCTCCTCATCCTCCTCCTCCTCCTCTTCCTCCTCCTCCTCCATCCCTCCTCCTCCTCCTCCTCCTCCGCCTCCTCCTCCTCCTCCTCCCTCCTTCCTCCTTCCTCCTCCTCCTCCTCGTCCTCCCTCCTCCTCTCCTCTTCTATGCCTAATACTCCTCCCCATGCCTCCTCCTCCAACCTCCTCCTCTTCCTCTCCTCCCCTCCTCCTCCTCCTCCTCCTCCTCCTCCTCCTCCTCCTCGTCCGTCCTCCTCGCTCCTCCTCCTCCTTTTCCTCCTCCTCCCCTCCTCCTCCCTCCTCCCCTCCTCCTCCTCCTCCTCTCCTCCTCCTGAATCCTCCTCCTGATCCTCATCCTCCCTCTCCTTCCTCCCTCTTCTCCTCCTCCTCGCTCCTCCTCCTCCTCCTCCTCCTCCTCCTCCTCCTCCTCCTCCTCTTCCTCCTCCTTCCTCCTCCTCTTCCTCCTCCTCCTCCTCCTCCTCCTCCTCCCCCCTCCGCCTTCGCCTCGCCTCCGGCCTCCGCCTCCGCCTCCGCCTCGGCCTCCGACCTTCCGCCTTCCTCCTCCCCTCCTCCTCCTCCTTCTCCTCCTCCTCCCCTCCTTTTTTCCTCCTCCTCCTCCTCCTCCTCCTCCTCCTCCTCCTCCTCTTCTTGTTAGTATGTTTCCTCTTCCTCTTCGTATTCTTCTTCGTAGTATTATTATTATTACTATTATTATCATTATTATTATTATTATCATTATTATTACTATTATTAGTAGTATTAGTATTATTATTATTAGTATTATTAGTATTATTATTATTATTATTATTAGTAGTAGCATTGTTATAAGTATTATTATTAGTAGAATTACTATTATTATTAGTATTATTATCATTACTATTCTTAGTAATAATAATAATCATATTATTATTATTATCAGTATTATTATTATTATCATTATTATTATTATATAATTAGTATTATTATTAGTATTAGTATTACTAGTATTTTATTACTATTATCATTAATAATAATAGTATTATTATTATTAGTAGTATTGTTATTATTAGTATTAGTATTATTATTATTAGTAGTATTATTAATATTAAAATTATTATTATTATTATTATTATGATCATTATTATTAGTATTAGTATTATCAGTATTATCATTATTAGTATTACTAATATTATTATTAGTATTTTTATTATTAGTATGTTATTATTTGTATTACTATTATTACTATTATTATTGTTGTTATTATTATTAGTACATTATTATTTCCCAACCCTCCTTGGTTGGGTATTTGTTTTGAATAGAGCAGTGTGGTCGCGTCCCTTCTCCCGCCTCCCGCCTTTTCCTGTCTTGCCTGCGGGGGGCTGCGATCTGCGAAACCGTCGCCATTTTCGAGGCCTGCTGGGGGGCCCAGCACAGTGAGGGCCACGCGCGGATTCAAATTAGACCTCGCCATCCCTGGGGGGCTGCGATCTGTGAAACTGTCGCCATTTTCGAGGCCTGCTGGGGGGCCCAGCAAAGTGAGGGCGACGCGCGGATTCAAATTGGACCTCGCCATCTCTGGGGGGGCTGCGATCTGTGAAACTGTCGCCACTTTCGAGGCCTGCTGGGGGGCCCTGCACAGTTACGCCACGGGCATATTCAAACGAGACCTCGCCATCCCTTGGGGGCTGCGATCTGTGAAACTGTCGCCATTTTCGAGGCCTGCTGGGGGGCCCAGCACAGTGAGGGCGACGCGCAGATTCAAATTAGACCTCGCCATCCCTGGGGGGCTGCGATCTGTGAAACTGTCGCCATTTCCGAGGCCTGCTGGGGGGCCCAGCGCAGTGAGGGCGACGCGCAGATTCAAATTAGACCTCGCCATCCCTGGGGGGCTGCGATCTGTGAAACTGTCGCCATTTTCGAGGCCTGCTGGGGGGCCAGCACAGTGAGGGCCACGGGCGGATTTAAATTAGACCTCGCCATCCCTGGGGGGCTGCGATCTGCGAAACTGTCGCCATTTTCGAGGCCTGCTGGGGGGCCCAGCACAGTGAGGGCCACGCGCGGACCAAAATTAGACCTCGCCATCCCTGGGGGGCTGCGATCTGCGAAACTGTCGCCATTTTCGAGGCCTGCTGGGGGGCCCAGCACAGTGAGGGCCACGCGCGGATTCAAAATAGACCTCGCCATCCCTGGGGGGCTGCGATCTGCGAAACTGTCGCCATTTTCGAGGCCTGCTGGGGGGCCCAGCACAGTGAGGGCCACGCGCGGATTCAAATTAGACCTCGCCATCCCTGGGGGGCTGCGATCTGCGAAACTGGCGCCATTTTCGAGGCCTGCTGGGGGGCCCAGCACAGTGAGGGCCACGCGCTGATTCAAATTAGACCTCGCCATCCCTGGGGGGCTGCGATCTGCGAAACTGTCGCCATTTTCGAAGCCTGCTGGGGGGCCCAGCGCAGTGAGGGCAATCGCCGCGGATTCAAATTAGACATCGCCATCCCTGGGGGGCTGCGATCTGCGAAACTGTCGCCATTTTCGAGGCCTGCTGGGGGGCCCAGCACAGTGAGGGCCACGGGCAGATTCAAATGAGACCTCGCCGTCCCTGCGGGGCTGCGATCTGTGAACCTGTCGCCACTTTCGAGGCCTGCTGTGATCCCCGTTTTCGAAGTGGCCAGGAGTGCTCAGGAATTGTAAATCATCAGTTTTATCAAGCCCTTTTCCTGTAGCCAGTGTCCTGCGAGTCTCCCGAATTCCGTCTGCAGACATATGTAACCCTCGCTCCGTCGTCGCCCCCTTATAAAGTATCCTATACTATGTGCGCCCCGCTTTTGCGCAGGGGTCGGGTACGTCGCCAGGGTAATTATTAGTAGTAGTAGTATTATTATTATTAGTATTATTATTAGTATTAGTATTAGTGTTAGTAATACTATTTTTATTAATAGTATTCTTATTATTCTTATTATTACTATTGTTCTTCATATTATTCTTAATATTATTATAGTTTGTCTTATTATGTTTATTATTATTCGCCTTCTTCTTCTTATTATTCTTATCATTCTTCTTATTATTATTAGTATTAGTATTCTTATTTTTTTTCATTATAATTATTCTTAGTAGTCTTATTATTATTCTTATTAGTCTTATTATTCTTCTTAGTATTCTTATTATTCTTCGTCTTGTTATTATTATTCCCAACCCTCCTTGGTTGGGTATTCGTTTGGAATAGAGCAGTGTGGTCGCGTCCCTCCCCCGCCTCCCGCCTCTTCCTGTCTTGCCCGCGGGGGGCTGCGATCTGCGAAACTGTCGCAATGTTCGAAGCCTGCTGGGGGGCCCAGCACAGTGAGGGCCACGGGCGGATCCAAATTAGACCTCGCCATCCCTGGGGGGCTGCGATCTGTGAAACTGTCGCCATTTTCGAGGCCTGCTGGGGGGCCCAGCACAGTGAGGGCCACGCGCGGATTCAAATTAGACCTCGCCATCCCTGGGGAGCTGCGATCTGTGAAACTGTCGCCACTTTCGAGGCCTGCTGGGGGGGCCCAGCACAGCGAAGGCCACGGGGGCGGATTCAAATTAGACCTCGCCGTCCCTGGGGGGCTGCGATCTGCGAAACTGTCGCCATTTTCGAGGCCTGCTGGAGGGCCCAGCACAGTGGGGGCCACGCGCGGATTCAAATTAGACCTCGCCGTCCCTGGGGGGCTGCGATCTGCGAAACTGTTGCCATTTTCGAGGCCTGCTGGGGGGCCCAGCACAGTGAGGGCCACGCGCGGATTCAAATTAGACCTCGCCATTCCTGGGGGGCTGCGATCTGTGAAACTGTCGCCACTTTCGAGGTTGCTGGGGGGGCCCAGCACATGTGAGGGCCACGCGCGGATTCAAATTAGACCTCGCCATTCCCTGGGGGGCTGCATCGCGACTGTTCGCCATTCGAGGCCTGCTGGGGGGCCCAGCACAGTGAGGGCCACGCGCGGATTCAAATTAGATCTCGCCATCCCTGGGGGGCTGCGATCTGCGAAACTGTCGCCATTTTCGAGGCCGGGGCCCAGCACAGTGAGGGCCACGCGCGGATTCAAATTAGACCTCGCCATCCCTGGGGGGCTGCTATCTGCGAAACTGTCGCCATTTTCGAAGCCTGCTGGGGGGCCCAGCACAGTGAGGGCCACGCGCGGATTCAAATTAGACCTCGCCATCCCTGGGGGGCTGCGATCTGCGAAACTGTCGCCATTTTCGAGGCCTGCTGGGGGGCCCAGCACAGCGAGGGCCACGCGCAGATTCAAATTAGACCTCGCCATCCCTGGGGGGCTGCGATCTGCGAAACTGTCGCCATTTTCGAGGCCTGCTGGGGGGCCCAGCACTGTGAGGGCCACGCGCGGATTCAAATTAGACCTCGCCATCCCTGGGGGGCTGCGATCTGCGAAACTGCCGCCATTTTCGAGGCCTGCTGGGGGGCCAGCACAGTGAGGGCCACGGGCAGATTCAA